AGAAATTTTCCGTCTCACTATAAGAGTATTCTAAGCTAGACTATTCAAAGAATGAAATTTGCCATAGCCCATAAGTTTTGTTAATTGCAAGTTATAATTTTGTTTAATCTGTATGTATGTGTGTGTATCTATGTATGTATATACACGTATTATATATATGTATATATATATATATATATATATATAACATGTATACACACATATTTGTCCCACGATCTGCCACATATGTACACACACATACACATTGCTTTCTAGTATATGTGAATGAGGAAGGGAAGTCATTTCTTTAGCGCCAAAAAGAAAAAAAAAAAGTCACACACAAACACACATTGCTATTGATAAATTCAAGTGATATGTGATTCTTGGTCAGGGATTTCTTGGTCTCAGTGGGGCAATACTCGTTCAAGTCTATGACACACTATGCAAAGGCAAGCCAAGCACTTTCCTTCTTGTGCTTGCCCTTTTGCCGACATTGGTCTCCCTCTTGCTCATGCCATTGGTGAGAGTCCATGAATCAAACACAGGAAATGACAAGAACCACCTGAATTCTTTCTCTGCTGTTGCTCTGATCATTGTCGCTTGTCTCATGCTAATGATAATCATGGAAAACATCATAACCTTCTCGACATGGGGACGCTATTCTACTCTTGTACTTCTTCTGCTTCTGTTGGCCTCTCCCCTCGGGATTGCAATCAAAGCAGAGAGTGAAGACTCGATAAAACAAACCGAAGAAACATCCTCAATTGAGAGCAATCCATTACTGGACAACTCTTGCCGAACAACATCCTCCAAGATTATTTCAGCCGAAGAAAATCCATTAGACTATGAAGAACTGCCAACTTCCGCCAACAGTGAAGTGAAGGTCACTTCAGATTACAATATTTTGCCTTTTGAAGAAGAGGACATGAATCTCTTGCAAGCAATGCGTACTGTCAACTTCTGGTTGTTGTTTCTAGCTATGGTTTGTGGAATGGGCTCCGGTCTCGCCACCATAAACAACATGAGCCAATTGGGACAGTCTCTCGGCTACACATCACTAGAGATAACTTCTTTTGTTTCCCTTTGGAGTATATGGAATTTTCTAGGTCGTTTTGGAGCCGGGTATTTGTCAGATTATTTCCTGCACACCAGAGGATGGGCAAGGCCATTGTTGATTGCAGTTACTCTAGCAACCATGACTACTGGCCACATCATCATCGCCTCCGGTTTTTCAGGAAATCTGTATGTGGGTTCAATCTTGGTTGGCATTTGTTATGGCTCACAATGGTCACTAATGCCCACAATCACTTCGGAAATATTTGGTGTAAGACACATGGGTACTATTTTCAACACCATTGCCATAGCCAGTCCCGTTGGTTCTTACATATTTTCCGTAAGAGTAATCGGGTATATTTACGACAAAGAAGCTTCCGGATACACCTGCTTTGGCACTCGCTGCTTCATGTTATCCTTTTTCGTCATGGCCGCCGTCGCTTGT